CATCCTGCTGAGACCCTGTACAACTCTGGTGAGAATGCACACAACCCTGGTGAGACCCCCACACAGCCTCCTGAAACCCTTCACAGCCCTGGTGAACAACGCAAAGTATGTAGCTTTATATTGTTCTGCATTGCTGTATAATGTATTGCTGAGATTTGTAGTCCTCTCTAGCTGGTGGTATTGTGCATTGCTGGGATTTCTAGTCCCTGTACAGTTTGGAGTCCGTGGCTACCAGGATTGCAGAAGTTGCAGCTGCGACTGGGCCCTGACGCTCCACCACCATCCTAAAATTATTAGTCTGTTGTTTTAGAAAAATTGTCACATGACAGACCCCCCAAAAAAGGTATCGGTAATTGGTATGAGCGAAAAGTATCGGTGCTCGCATTCGTCTGGAAAAAATGGTATCGGTGCATCCCTAGTGGTGTCCATATCGCCTTCCATGGTGCAAATCCTGGCTGACAAATTCCATCCATGCACATTTTATATATTCTATAATTGACTTCAAGTGATGTCTGCCTTTATAGCAGTGCAAGCCAGTCCCATGATCACTACCCCTGCTTTCCTGTTCACAGGTGTCTCCTGTGCCTTGCGGGGTCCCATGGAGCCACACTTACATGCATGTGCCTTGATATTGTGGAATAAATGGGGTCTTGTGACAATAATGCACGCACGCTTCAACCAGTGACGAGGCACAATTATGCTATTTTAAAAAAGGGATGAGGGACTTTAAAGCTGACATGGGTGGGCCTAGGACTGGGGCACACATACGCAGTGCTATCTTTCGGATGAGGGACCCAGTAATAATGACCTGAGTGGTCATGTGAGCGCTACAGTGAGCAGTCCACATCCCCAACTGGAAGCTGAATTATCAACTTGGAGCCATAAGGAGTAACTGGTGAAATAATTAAGAGACTGGGGATAGATTAACCAAAAATAGTTGATTCTGTAGGTTGCCTTTAGGTGAATGCTTTAAAATAATCAGATCCGTTCTTTTAGCTCTGCTTTTTATTTTACCCTGATTTAGCAGGGTATACTTCTATAATGGGATAAAAAAAACTGGGCTCAGTGTTAATGATAGCCTGGGTATGTGTGGCAGGAATCCTGGGTGGAGGGGGACCAGGCTATCACTAACACTGAGCCCCCCTCAGCTTCCAGGGCAGTGATTAAACACACATACCCCCTATTTGCTCACAAATCCACTTGAGTGCCCACCACTCTCACCATTTATGGACTTACACCCATCGACCCCTCGCCAATGATTACGCACCACCATCCATCCATTGGTAAGTTGGCCTGTTTTATTTGGTCAATATATGGTAGTAGCGCTTCTGTACTCCCCCTTTTTTTTTAATCCTCTTGGCAAACGACGAACACCCCGGTCCACATTTATAAGAAGCAGCACACCCATCATTCCTACCCACACCCAGACACCCCCACCCTAGTGTCAGCGCTGCATCTAGGGACAACTCTCCCAATTTTTCCATATACTTCTATAATGCATTTCGGCATTATATTGCTTCTTGGGGAATAAGTTATAAAGCTTGTTTGGTCACAATGTGACCATGACACTCTAGAATGCCCTAGCATGTCCTGGGTCTTTTGTGATCTTAAAGGGGTTCTAAACCCTCCGGTTTTTTTTGCTTATCTACTGCTAGCAAGCAGTAGATATAGGCATGAAGTGTAAAAAAAAACGCTTGAAATCATTTTAAACTTACCTCGTTATCGCTGCTCGCTCCCGCGCCGAGTATCAGGAACTGCTCGTACGGCCGCAAAGGATCTTGGGGCATGCGCAGTTCCGATTCTCGGCCGGGAATAATTTTTTTATACTTAAGTCCTTAGGACGGTCGTGTTACATGCAGGGTCCTCTTTACCTCTTCTCTGGTTTTGGGCAGGTAGTGTTACTGATGTGATGACATTAGCGCGGTTCCCTGCTTCATTAAAGTATCATTGCAGGGTCTATGGTGATCCCCCAAAGAGGTGGGTCCATGATGTCCTGCACTGACAGGAATGAATGAATGGATGAATGAATGATGCCGGGTGTCATTTAACTGAGAAGATGATTGGTGCTGGATCACAGAGCAGGCAACATCACTGGAGGTGAGTATTGCGGCAAGAGCTGCACTTTTATTTAAACAAGGGGAGGGCTATCTATTTTTCTTTGAAGGTAAGCTAAAAATAGCCTGGGGTTTTAACTCACCTTAAATATTTAGACATGGCATGTTCTGTTACAAATGTTTGCACTCCACAATGCCTTAGGCAACATTGCGTGACATAGTATTCCAACAACTGCAAGGTATAGACTCCTATGGTCTTAAATAACACCTAGGCTGGAAGCACATGTACAGAGAAGGCAATCTGAAGCACTAACAAAGCACAAGAACAGAGCACACTAGCCTTGTGAAGAATGCTTGGTCCATTTATTGAATAAAATCAAAGATCTAAAGTTGTGCTCAAAAGTATGCATACCCTTAGAGAATTGGTAATATATGTACCATTTTTAAAGAAAACATGAGTGAGCAGGAAAAACACATTTCTTTTATTTCTTATGGGATTCATATTCAAATTGTCTGCCAGTATTTTCTGATAACATGCTGCATTCATCTTACCTTAAATTTTCACAAGATTCCCTGTGCCTTTAGAGCTCACATACCCCCAAAACATCAGTGAGCCACCATCATGCTTCACAGTGGGGATGGTATTCTTGTCGCTATAAGCCTTGTTGACCCCTGTAACGATCGCGGCTGCGCTCCAACGTGGAGCGCAAGCCGCGGGGCGGAAGTAGAGGAGCCGATGCGTTCCAGCGTGGAACGCATCGGCCCCTGTGACGTCAGCAGCTCCTCCCACACTCCTCCCCTATAAAAGGCTGACAGAAAGATCAGTATGGCGTTCCACTATTGCCAGAGAACGCCAGCTGACAACCAGAAATCCCTTTCTTGGAGCATTGGACCTGTGACCTGGAGGAACCCTCGTTGTGCTAGGACACCTAATAGCAAGTACAGTTCAGTCTGAGACAGCCTGTCCCAGATAGAGCTCTCTAAAAATCATTCCTTTTTTGACCACCTGCAACCTGTTGTATGGACTGCCTAGGTTCCATCTGAGCCACGCCAGTTAAAGGGGAAGTGCTGATAATTCTTTTGTGTGATACTCCTTACCAAGTCTATTATTTTTGCCTGCTTGAATCAAATGCTGATAACTCTTCTTGTTAGTACACCTTATCAAAGTAGTACTATAATTGAATCCACTTGAACCCTACATAACAGTTGTAACCCGGGTATGCTGTAAATACCCTGGGGCTACTCGTGTGCATCACCACTTAACCCGAAGTAATTGCGGCACATGATGGTAGAGCTCCTAACTCTCCGTTTGTGTTGAGAGTGACGCCTGGAGCTCGACCCTGAAGCCGTACCCTCAACCAATTTCACCTGGCACACTCCGCAGCTGAGATTCATATATCCTGACCTAGCCATTACAACCCCTCTCTAAACATAGCGCTTATGATTGTGACCATAAAGCTCTATTTTGGTCTCATCACTCCAAATTACAGTGTGCCAGAATCTGTGTAACCGGACTTTTTTGTGGCATTGGTGCAGTAAGGGCTTCTTTCTGGTAACTCGACCGTGCAGCTCATTTTTGTTCAAGCATCATCGTATTGTGCTCCTTGAAACAACCACACCGTCTTTTTCGAGAGCAGCGTTTATTTCTTCTGAGGTTACCTGTGGGTTTTTACTTTTTATTCTTTATTTTTATTCTTCTGACAGTTGTGTCTGCAATCTTTCTTGGTCTACCTGACCTTGGCTTGGTATCAAGAGCTCCTCGAAATTTCCACTTCTTAATAAGTGTTAGAACAGCACTGACTGGCATTTTTAAAGCTATGCAATTCTTTTTAGATCCTTTTGCATCTTTATAAAGTTCCTTTACCTTGTTTCGCAGATCTTTTGACAGTTCTTTTCTGCTCCCCACGGCTCAGTATCTAGCCTGCTTAGTGCATCCACGTGAAAACTAACAATGATGACAGCGCTCTACTCCCTGCCCTGCACGGCCTCTTGACAGTTTTCTCTCCTCCCCGCAACTATGGATGCACCGCAATCTCGGTTGAAAGATGGTACTTTCTGCATTTTTCCCAAAGTACCATTTTAGGCCACTATGTTTCAGCGGCCAAAATGTTGGTGCATCCCTAATTGTTACTATTACATAATTTTATTAAAGCTATTTCCATCTCCCATATTTATAGGCTTGTGTGAGAATAATTTGGCTTATATGTTCGAAAGGTTCCTAAGCTATGAACAGATAAAGTTCTTTTCTTAGTTAAGAAACTCTGCCAGTACATTTATTTCAACAGCAAACTTCCCATAATGTGCATAAAGCAGTCTTTGGGCATGTTATATACCTGTAAACCCCCCCCCCCCCCCCTTTGTTTAGACATCCAAAAGCCCTGAGAATGCTGCTGGATGCAGTCATATTGGATCTGATGTCAGTAGACTTAGAGCGGTCACTAAAGTGACAATCTATAGCAGGGGCCCTCCAACTGTGATGCAACTACAAATGTCATCATGCATCTGCCTCTGGGAGTCATGCCTGTGGCCATCAGAGTCTTGCAATGCCTCATGGAATATGTGGTTGCACCACAGCTGGAGGGCCGGAGTTTGCCTACCCCTGATCTATAGCATTCTCCTTTGCTCCTCCTCCTGGCTGGCTGCTACATAAAAGGTAATGTAAGGAGGTGAGGGGCAGAGGAGCTGTGCCAGCACAAAATTTAATCAGACACACCCAGAAGAGGAGAGAGCTGTGATGTGTAAAGAAGGAAGGTGTTGTGCTAGGAAAGGAGGCACATTGCAAGATCAATAAAACAAAATTATGGCAATTAAGCAAAAATGCTGCAAGTAAGCATTGACAATTACTTTATTTTTCTGTGTTTTTACCTGATTTGGTCTCAACAAAATATTTACAATGTGTAACTGAAAATAAACAAATCTTAATATATTATCCGTTTTGTTTTGTAGTGTTGAGTCCTGATGAGTGCTCGGAATCGTACTTCTAATTCACAAAAGAGAACAAATCAACAAGCTCAAAAATGTACGACACGCCTGCAAAATGTTTATAAATGATTAATATATTTTTTTAATACGTTTTTATAAATGTTGAAAAGTTCATAGAAGAAATGTAGGAAATGTGTGTTAAGTTTGCCATACAGGGGAAATCTCTGTAGTAGCAGATAATCTGCCCCCCTCTCTCTCCGGCCTCCCTCTTTCTCTCTGAAGTGTGGCTCAGTGTCATTTCTTTTTTACTCCGCTGACAGTAGAATGCAGAACCCTCTGTTTAGCGTACAAAAGGACACAATTGCTAAATGTCTTCTCCAAATTGTACTGAGAAGTGCTTGTTATACCTTGGGAATTGATCACACCCCTGACTGTCACATGGGTCACATGCCCTCTAGTTAGCTGCTCATGGTTTTTACGGGAATGAAAAAACATACTGGTAACATGTAAGGTTGTGTAATGTTGAGTTTAATGTAATCTTAAAATACCCACAGATATGAGATGGTCAAAAAATTAAACCACGGAACAATTATTTTTAGTTTTAACGTATGTGGCATTAATATCTATGGTCTTATGGCCTGAAACTGAATGTGCATGTTTATTCTCTAGGCTGACACCTCAGGGGCCGATCCTGCCTTGAAGTAACAATAGTAATTGGCCAACAGAATCCATTCTGCATAATTAATTTCCTTCTAACTCAGATCAGCCAAGATGGGTCTCCAGAAAGCACAAACTGCCCGAAGTCAGTAGTTTCATGAATTGACCACCTGGCTAGAAACACCAAGAATAATTTTGTGTCTATTGCTACCTTCACACAAATGCCATGGAACATTTCATGTTTTAAACAAAGGCTCTTGTGGCATATTCCATGTAGCCTCAGTTAATATAGATATAGATATTAAATGGCGGTCAAATTGTACATGCTCAATCTAACTGCTAGAGCGGGGTAGGCAACCTTAGTACCCCAGCCATTGTTTAACTAAATGTCCCATGATCCACTGCAAGACTCTGACAGCAACAGGCAGAGGTGTGATTTGGAGTTTGACCACTGCTGGAGTGCCGAGGTTGCCTACTTCCGTGCTCGAAAATCCCTTTATGAAACACTGGGGCTTATTTACTACAGACTGATCATTTGTGTGAATATTCACCTTAATTATCCAGTCAGCTGCAGATGAAATAAGTAAACAGGGATTTTCTTTTCACACTATTTAATAATTTAAGTGAATCTTTACACATTTTATTGTGTGAATATGCTCACATCCTTTAGTACGTCAGCCTCACTGTTTGCATAAACATGCTTTTCACCTATGGAAAGTGAACTCTGCCTATGAACAAAAGCATTCCGCTGGGGAAAATCAAACTCAGTTAAACAGGGGTGTCTTACTATGTTTGAAGGCGCCCATGGACAGAACCAAATATATTGGTTTGGGTAAAGATATAATGTTTTTACGCACCTTTTGTAACCTAAAAATTTCTAGATCATGTTTGGTAAGGCTTTTGTCTGTATTGTAGACACATTACTACCATACATTATATTTTGGCAATAAAAAGTAGGCACTTTATATTAGGGCACAAGAACATTACACAAAAAAACACCTCTAAAAGTGGGTTATTGCAAAATGAAAATTTCCACTCTCAAAGTTTAACCATTTGCTGTCCAGAGCAATTTCTTGCACACACATGATAAAATCTGAATTTTTGGCTAGAAAACCGATTAAAACCCCTTAACAATTATATATTTTCTGAAAGCAGAGGCCCTGTAGCATAAAAAAAAATGTTTGTTGCAATTTTTTATGTCGTACAGTATTTGGTTTATCAAACCAGTATTTTTAGGCTAAAATACAATAAAATTAAATTTTGTGCACAGAAACAGAGTATAATACCAAATTTTGGGGTAAAATATAAAAGAAGAGGTCACGTTGGGTGAACCGATACCAAACATCCTAAATAATTAATCGATGTTCAAATCAAACAAGAATTTTGTATATCAAAGTGTCCACAAATTACTGTGATCTATGTGTAAAAATCTCAGACGAGAATATATATATATATATTGACTACAGGTGCCCATACACTGCTCGATTCTCGTACGAGAATCGAGCAGTGTGAACGAAGACGTGCGACAGTTTCTACTGTATGGTCGCACGTCTTTTGTCTAAGGAGCACGCTAGAAAACCAGCCGAAAATCGTACGATTTGGTTTGAACGGTGCTCGGGAGAAAAATTATTAAAAGCTCTTATTTTTAGCCTTATTATTATTATCGGTCTCAAATGGCACACTAACTTTTGACCAGACTAATAAATTATCTTCCTTCTTATCTGTTATTGATATTGTCCCCCTTCTTGCTTCTCTCACATCTTCTCCCCTTTTCTCTGTGCTCTCTGACCTTTTGTAAATGCAAATAAATACTTTGCTGGACAGTGTACATTTGTTTGATCTGGATTTCTCATTGAAAAAGTTGAAGAGCTTAATACTGTTTTTAAAGTGTTTTTACTACTATGTACCTATTGGAGTGAAGGGAAATATTCCTAGTAGGGACATAAACAGAAAAATAAGGCTTAATAGAAATTCTAAGACTATGAAAAAAGAAGAGCGCTAGTAAATCTAGTAAAAAAAAAAGAAGAAAAAGAACCCTGCTGTGCCAGAGCTAAGACTGGCATTATGGTCTATCTCATTACAATATTATGGTTTGATAAATTAAGTAGAAAATTTATTTTGGCTCATTCCTTCCACTTTGTCATTGACAAATTACACCCCATATACTGTAGAGCTGTACAAGTCATCTTTTTTAAGGTATGATCTATTGCTCCTTTGATAGATGGCCTAACTTTGTTTTTTACCGGGGTGCTGTTAATGTGTTTGTTTACATCCACAAAATAGCACAAACTGATAAATGTGTCTGTCAAGCTTACATCTATGCTTCTCCTCTGATCATCATGAATAGATGACAGTCTGCTGACAAAACAATATTTTGTCCTTTATATTACTCGCACGTAGAATGTGTTCAGAAATCTACCTCCCTGTCATGTAAGAAAGTATAAGGCTACATTCACATGGGGCTGTTAAGTGGGACTGGGGATTTCTGCAGCAAGAGCCTACGGATCCTAGCAGGAATCCAAGGTGTGTCCATTCAGAGGTGGCCGCTGTCAGCATGCCATCAACTTGAACAGGCATAGTGGCCTCAGCTGTACGGACACACCTTGGATTTCCAATGCAAGAATCTATGTTCTTGCTGCCGAAATCCCCAGCCAAATCTGTCAGTTGCAGTCTGCATGTAATCGTACATGAAACGATTACCTACAGTTTGGGATTGGTAAGTATTCCACATACAATTGCATTCTGGACTACTGCTGTTAGCCTGTCATTCACTTGAATGGGCACAGAGGCCACATCTGTACAGACACACCTGGGAATTTATGATGTAAGAATATGTAGGTTCTTGCCGCAGGAATCCCCAGCTGCAACATAAAGCCAGGTGTAAATGGGCCCTTTTTTTGCATGCTGGCTGGTGAGTGTGCTGGGAAACGTTTTGCTGTTGTAAATAGCAGAACCAGTCATTTTTACTGGATATAATAGAATATTCAAGAGTCTGAGCAGCATAGCTAATACAAACTCAATTCCCAAAATAATTGTGTAAAATCTACCTAAAAACAGAATGCAATGATTTGCAAATCTTATAAACCCATATTTTATTCACAATAGAAAACATATCAAATGTTTAAACAGGGAAAATGTACCATTTTAAGAACAAAATAAGATCATTTTAAAATAGATGGCAGCAACAAGTGTCAAAAAGGTTGGGACAGGGCAACAACAATCTGGCAAAGTAAGTGGTACTAACAAGAGCTGGAAGAACATTTTGCAACTAATTAGGTTAATTGGCAACAGGTCAGTAACATGATTGGGTATAAAAAGAGCATCTTAGAGAGTCAGAGTGTCGCAGAAATAAAGATGGGCAGAGGTTCACCAATCTGTGAAAAGCTGCGTCTAAAAATTGCCAACCAATTTCAGAATGATGTTCCTTAACGTAAAATTGCAGAGACTTTAAATATATAATCTTCTACAGTAAATAATACCATCAAAATACTGCGAGAATCTGGAGAAATATCTGTGCGCAAGGGAGAAAGCCGAAACACAATATTGGATGATCTTCGGGCCCTCAGGCGGCACTGCATTACAAATAGTCATGATTCTGTCATCGACATCACTGCATGGGCTCAGGAATACTTCCAAAAATCACTGTCTGTGGACACAGCTCGCTGCGCCATCCAAAAATGCAAGTTAAAGCTCTATCATGCAAAGAGAAGCCATATCTGAACATGATCCAGAAACGCCACCATCTTCTCTGGGCAAAAGCTCATTTGAAATGGTCTGTCTCCAAGTGGAAAACTGTTCTGTGGTCAGATGAATCAAAATTTGACATTCTTTTTGGCAACCATGGGTGCAGCATCCTCCAGATTGGAGAGGAGAGGGACCTTCTGGCTTGTTATCACTGCTCAGTTCAAAAACCTGCATCTCTGATGGTATGGGGGTGCATTAGTGCAAATTGAATGGGCATCTTGTACATCTGGAAAGGCACCATCAATGCTGAAAGATATATCCCAGTTTTGGAGCAGCATATGCTCCCATCCAGATTACCTCTTTTTCAGGGAAGGCCTTTTATATTTCAGCAGGGCAATGCTTAACTGCATACTGCATCTATGACAACAGCATGGCTTTGTAGTAGAAGAGTCCGGGTGCTTAACTGGCATGCCTGCAGTCCAGACCTTTCACCAATTGAAAATATTTGGCGCATCTTGAAACGAAAAATACTACAAAGAAGACCCAGGACTGTTAAGCAGTTAGAATGCTATAAAAGTCAAGAATAGGACAACACATCTCTCCCAAAACCCCAGCAACTGGTCTCCTCAGTTCCCAGACGCTTACAGAGTGTTGTTAAAAGAAGAGGGGGTGCTACACCATGGTGACCATGGTCCTGCCCCAACTTTTGTGAGACCTGTTGCTGCCAACAATTTCAAAATTACCTTATTATTT